GGGCAAAATTGAGCAAATTTTTTTGTTCATTTCTGCCTTCCCCAGCCCCCAGGAGCTCTTTGAAAGCCTCCTACAAGCTATGCATGGCCATTTTTGCGAAAACCAGGGGTTTCAGGAGGCAAAAAAATGCTCTATTCAGTGTATTAGATGCACCCAGATTTTCACCCTCTTTTATGAGGGAAAAAGGTGCATCTTATACTCCGAAAAATACAGTAGTTAGGCACAGGAAGGGTTTTGTGGCTCCTGGTGTTTTCGTTTCTGTGGGAAATTTGAGTGTTTAAGGTTGCTCTTTAAGGTTGCCAACCCCTGGTTTAGGAAGAGGCCACAAGCAATTCCTACTGAGTCAAAAGAGGAGCGGTAGAACATTTCTTGTTTCCAAATCCCCTTCTGGCTCACTTCATAAGAGATGGGAAGTTTCCACCATGTGAAGCATGTCAGATTGGAGAAGGCTCTCATACTGCAATTTTGTTGTAGGAGAAACTTGGGAGCATCAGCTTGATTGATTGATTGGTTGGTTGGTTGGTTGGATGGACTAATTTATGTTGCAGTCCCAAAGTTCTTTCCCTTCTCCATTTCTTATATAGGCAGCATTTGTAAGCAGTTGATTCTCACCTGTATTTTTATTTTTTGCTTTCTCCTAGGGTCCCCCAGGCCCTGTTGGTCCCTCTGGCAAGGATGGCTCTAATGGAATGCCTGGACCAATTGGTCCTCCCGGCCCTCGTGGTCGTAGTGGAGAAACTGGTCCATCTGTAAGTAACTTTTAAAAAAGCTATGAATACAGGTAGTCCTTGACTTAACGACCATAATTGAGCCCAAAATCTCTCCTGCTTGAACAGGTGATTGGACCTCCAAGGTCCCTTCCAGCTCTATTCTGATAGAGAGATGATGATGATGAGACATAGAGATGTATATAAGGCAAATCTGTTAGAATGGTCTCCTTTCCTCTTCTCTGACAGGGTCCTCCTGGCAACCCCGGCCCCCCTGGCCCTCCCGGCCCACCTGGAGCTGGGATTGATATGTCAGCCTTTGCTGGCCTCGGCCAGACTGAGAAAGGCCCCGATCCAATGCGCTACATGCGATCCGATCAGGCATTCAGTAATTTGCGGCCGCATGACGTTGAGGTCGATGCCACCTTGAAGACTCTCAACAACCAGATTGAAAGCATCCGAAACCCTGAGGGCAGCAAGAAGAACCCAGCTCGAACCTGTCGTGACCTGAAACTATGCCACCCTGAATGGAAGAGTGGTGAGTCTCAGGCGCAATGCCCCTGTCTCATTTGGGATGGACCTGAGTTCTGTCAGCTCAGTGATGTAAAACCTATACCCAGACAGAACCAAATGATTCCCACTCAAAACATATATAAATGTCCCTCACAGCAAGAGTGGTTTGGATATTTTTGATTCCTGCCATTCAAATGGCTTCTTCAGCATTTTTTATTCCTGCCACCCAAAAATGTGGAATTCTAATGACAGTTAGAATGCAGTACTGCAGGCTAACTCTGCCCATACCCTGGAGTTCAATACTGACTGGCTCAAGGTTGACTGAGCCTTCCATCCTTCCGAGGTGGGTAAAATGAGGACCCAGGACCCTATTGGGAACAATAGGCTGACTCTGTAAACTGCTTAGAGAGGGCTGTAAAGCACTATGAAGTGGTATATAAGTCTAGGTGCTATTGCTATTTGATCCACTCCATTGAAGATGTTAGAGATACTGTGGCTTGTAAATCTGGGCATATTCTTTTCCCAGAATGTCACTGGAAACCACACTGTACTGAATGATAAAATGTAGTTCTTTTTCCCTAAGCTCAGATGCACATTCTGTTATCAGAGTAAATCAAGTAACACAACCTGAAAATGAGAGACTACAGTCCAAAATATTAACACGTAAACTTTAATCATTGAATATGGTAGTGGTGATGCTCATACTATTTTCTCCCATATGTAGTCAGTAAACTTTAGAGATATGTTTTCCCTTTTTACATTCATGTCGATTAGTAATAAATTTCATTCTACTGTCATTATAATGTAATTATAATTCCATTCTAATGTGATTAATTAGACACCTGCATTAGTTAGACACCCAAGACTACCCCTTGGATAGGAAAATGGCCAATACATTTTTTATGACCAAGTGTGACCAAAAAAAGAGGAATATATATGTACAAGAAGCCAGATTGTTTGGGGGGGGGGGATATGCTG